GGGTCATTTTGGTAACTAAACGAGATGAATAATCGAAATGAGGTCAAAATTTGCATTTTACAAAATACAAACAAACTTAATGAAAGTCTCATAAAATTATTATGGAGAAAATTATTTCTAGAAATTGAAGGGACTAAATGCTAATTTCTGAAACTTAAATATTTAAAGTATAATAACAATATCAGTGCATAATAAAACAACAAAATGCATGCCTAGCCTATTGGTTAATGCTTGATGCTTCTAGGATGAGGTCGCGGGTTCGAGCCTCGCCCTCAGCATGCATTATCCTATTTTTTTTAAGGTAGACGGACACGATATTGGGTCTGGTCGACCAGCCCGTCAAACAGGCCCAACAGCATCAAACAGGCCCAACAGCAGTAAGATGACAACAGCCATGGCTGCAAGATTGAAGCTTTTCAACCTCGAAAATTGCTCGTTTCTTGACGTTTTTTCCTCATTCTTTTTGCACCAACCTCTTGGTAATATTTTTACCAACACTTTGACATAAAGAACACGAATTTTCATTAAGAAATGAGTTCCATTTACCCATTTAAAGTTTTAGTTTTAAATTAAACCGAACGAAACTTTAAACTTCAAAATCAAACCATAAAACACCAAATCTGGAACGTAAGGCTACTAGGGTTCTATAGAGGACTAAAAACGAAGCTAACCATATAAAGAACATGAATTTTAGTTGAGTATTTTACCTCTAATCGAGGAAAAACGAAGATTTCGGATGATGACTTTCGAGCTCCGATTTCTCTCCCGATTCTCAACGAAAGTTCGGTTTTCTTGAAGCAAAAATGTAGAGCAAAGTGTTGTCTACATGTATATGTAATTTTTTTGTCATAATAGTTGAATATTCAGACCAATAGAAGGCTTCAAACGTAGTGTCGTTTTCACGTTTCTGAAAATTTCAGATCTGACAAATTTACAAAACAGGTCCTTCTGATTTGGACCTGTTTACATCTGACCCAACCCCTTAACTATCGCGAATCTACAACTTTCACCCATGTCTTAACTTTTTCTTTCACTTTTTGTCCGATTTTTAAACTTCTTTTAATTTCTTTATTCCTTTAATTTTTATATATATATATATATATATATAAATGTTAGGACTGAGAAATTAGTATTAATTGTATTCGTCTTGAAAGTTTATAAATAGTCTATAATTGTAAAAGTTGATATTGAATCAGAAGGATATATGTCCCCCCTTCAAGTCTTTTTGATCACATATTGAGTCTGATAAATTTGTGTAGTACACACGGTTTATCTTTTTGAGCCTAAACAGAAGCATTAATTGCTTTATTCTTTTACACTACACAGATTTAGCATTTCATATGTTAATTTGCCAAAACGTTCATAGATATGCTATTTTTTTTAGCTATCGATGATTGAATGGAAGACCTAGTGAGATGAACATCAAATAGTCTCATATATACAGTATATCCGTTGTACTGAGTATATCTGTTATACTCACAGGCCAATCTTTTTATAAGATTGAAAACAATTTCATA